TAAAGATAGTATTTTCAGGTAACTTGACTCATGAATAATTACCGCCCATGTACATAAGATTCGTGTATTAAATATTTAACCTATCCACGAATTATATTTTACGATTTTTCAAGTCTTTACCTCTCTTGTGTTCCCGTGTTTTCTTGTTATCTTGACCACGATCACCGCCCAAGGCGTAGAGTAACTTGTTTGTGTTTGCCATATGAGACATTTTGCAACATCAACCACTTTCCTTTATCTGCCGATTGAATTAAACATCTTCATCATACTTTCACTGGCCTGTCTGCTCTGTGGCATAATTTTCTTAACAATCAATACAGTAGTTGATTGTTAATTTTTGCCTTATTCGCAAATTAGTTGTACAATCATACCATCACACAATGCACCACAGTTAGTGTTAATTTTGCTATTGGTGTGTTGATCTACGTCATAGATTTAATCACTGAACAAAGGTCAATGGCACCATAACATAGGTGATTCGGTGGCTCAGTTGGTAGCGTTACGGACTTTAGGTAGCGTCGGGCCCAAGGCAGCGATGTCGTGGGTTTAGATCCCGGTCACTGCCGCAAACATTTTATCAGTACAGTTCACCTTCGTACTGTACCGGCTCACCCCTTGCTTTGCTGGATACGTTCCACACACAGATCTGTAGTATATGTGGACGGGCAAATGCAAGGTTAAAAGAGACCGCCAACCTCTTAAAAAAAATTTGGAATTACCAAAGTTCAGTACGATGTGTACACTGTAGAGTGTCCGGTGAACGAACCGTGTACCGTGTAAGGCCTACCTGACACCGAACGGAACGCTTCTGATCCGCAGGAAACGCGCGATTAGATTTTCCCGCACGTCTCTCTCTCTCTCTCTCTCTCTCTCCCGGTCAACGTACCTCGTGGTTTTTGTGATCCTCAGTCTACTGAATCTAAACCACATACTGTGTTGTTGGGTGGATGTCACTCGAGTTTGTTGGACTGCGAAGTGGACTTTGGGATTAAAAGTGAGATTCACCAACGCGAGTGATCATTTTTAATAAATTCCACATCAATTTCATCGAGAACAATTGATTTCCCCTCGCTAATAGTGCAATCATCATATATATATATATATATATATATATATATATATATATATATATATATACAGGGTGTCCATAAAAAACGTTTCAGGACTTTGTGAAATGAATCCCCATACTAAAAGGAAGAAAAAAGTTCATGGGAAGGTATGTCCTAAAATCCATATTTACCCAGATATCCGCCATTTTGTTTTTTATACAAAAATATTTTTTTCTGTGGAGTTTTTTATTCGATGATTATTAAACTTGGTAAAAATGTTACCATACACAAGACCTATAATAGAAAAAATAATAAAGTTGTTCCGATTGTAAATTTCAAAATGGCGGCCGTTTGAACTTTTCTAACTTAAATAACTCGAAAATGGCTAATTCTATGAAAAAATGTCAAGAATACTTTTTTTTAGCATTTTTAATTTCCTATCAAACGATACCAAGATCAAAAAGATCGGACAAAAGATGACTGAAATATAACGGTTTTTGTGTAAAAATAAGGCAACAATTAAGGGTTCCCCGACTAACTTTGCCTTATTTTTACACAAAAACCGTTATATTTCAGTTATCTTTTGTCCGATCTTTTTGATCTTGGTATCGTTTGATAGGAAATTAAAAATGCTAAAAAAAGTACTCTTGACATTTTTTCATAGAATTAGCCGTTTTCGAGTTATTTGAGTTAGAAAAATTCAAATGGCCACCATTTTGAAATTTACAATCGGAACAACTTTATTATTTTTTCTATTATAGGTCTTGTGTATGGTAACATTTTTAACAAGTTTCATAATCATTGAATAAAAAACGTCACAGAAAAAAATATTTTTGTATAAAAAACAAAATGGCGGATATCTGGGTAAATATGGATTTTAGGACATACATTCCCATAAACTTTTTTCTTCCTTTTAGTGTGGGGATTCATTTCCCAAAGTCCTGAAACGTTTTTTATGGACACCCTGTATATATATGTATATCATCATAATAGTGCGGATTGAAATGCAGTTGCAATGCAATGTACAAAAATGTTTAAACTGCTGTATTAAATACACACTTTTAAAATTAGATTTATTTTATTTAACAATTATTATGCTCATAGATGTGGAAAAAGAGATTGAAAACCTCAAAGCTGCAAAAATTTCTAAGCCTCGAAATGAGGACATAGCCTATACAAATATTTTTCAATACGAGTTAACCTGTTGATCGATAAATATATTGACTGGAAACTATTCTGATTCAGTTAGAAAAGCAAAACAATAAATCTATTTATTTTTTAAAATAGGTATTATAACTCTCACGGCCTCTTGTTTTTAGCTCATGACAGATAAGAGTACAGTAATGAGTTTTAAGATCAGGAATTTAGTCAGTATAGCCTGTACAACTGCGAGTACCACTTTTTACCTTAGAACAGTGGCACAAACAAGCGTAAACAGTAACAGTGCCGTAGTAACTTCTATAAATAGCGGATCTATTTTACTCATTGACATACTTCATTAAATCTTAACTGTTGACAGAACAAAACAGTTTGATTGATTAATCTGACACTATCAATAACTTATCGTGGTTTTGACAGTTGATTAAAGTAATTATTTACGATTGCGAATGCTTCTAAGTTTACTTTCCAATGAAAATACGTAATTGATTTACTTGCTGCATTTCGTTTGATTAATAAATAGCCTAGTTTCCATACATGTGTGGAATGTGCTAATTTATGTATTTCTTTTCACCCCTCGTAAAAAATAATGAGGACATCGGAAGAACATTATTCTCCCTTCTGTAGGTTTGCCGAAGAAATCTGTTCCGTATTATACCATACGGATTGTACCACGTACAATAAACAATAACAATAACAATAATAATAACAGTAACGGTATGGTGTCCATGTGTTAAAACATATTTGTGCTCATCATCGTAGTATGGTTGTACATTGTAAATTTCTCGACTAATTGAAACGTGAGGAAAATTCTTAAGACAATTCTTAGAGAATTCTTAAGGAACTTAACAAAACCTTGAACAAGTTTTAAACAACTAGGCCTACATAATCTATGAAGATTCCTGATGATACTCAAGCCATTGTCGTGACGAACTCAGCTTTTCTGTCCGAGTAAACTACAATGTACACTGTTCGGATGTGTATTGCTATACAGGCAATGTCCATATGTGGTTTGAGGAAAATCGGATGTAGAAAACGCGGCTAGCGGCTAGTTAGCAAAAGCAAGGTTGTAGGGTGGCAATGACCCACAGAATCGCGGCTAGCTACTCAGCCGCTGGTTGCTCAACTTCGACGGGTGCAATCAGTTGCGTGACGTCACTTCTCACTTCTATACCATCTAGCCACCAGCCACCAGCCTCCACAGTAAGCATCTAGGTGGTTCTTAATCTTAAGTGGCTAAGAAACGGTGTCTGTTTAATAGACAGCGTCAGCATCAAAAATACTTAACATTTAGTAAACATTAAATAGTAGGCTAAGCTCTTTGTCATATCCTTGGTCGATTTTATAATAATGACCTTGGAAGCATGAACTCACTATAACTTTAAAGGGCATTAAAAATAATTCAAGTATTTTCGTGTTCGGTGGTACCTAAAAAGGAGCATACTTAACGTAAAGATACATTAAAATAGCCTTTCTTAGAGTGCCTCTACCGCTATGCTATGGCATAACTTACCAGTATCTATGAATCGGAGCCATCCAGTCATGTTATACTGGCTGGATCTGGCAAACAACAATACCTATACTTTTTATGTTGCAGGATGGTGTTGATTCTACCGGAGCACTCTCAGCGCCCCTCCCTACTGCTACAGCATGATATTGCCTTTGCTACAGCATGATATTGCCTTTTATTGAAGCCATCCAGTCATGTTATACTGGCTGGATCTGGCAAACAACAATACCTACCTATACATTTCATGTTGCAGGATGGTGTTGATTCTACCGTAGCACTCTCAGCGCCCCTCCCTACTGCTACAGCATGATATTGCCTTTTATTGAAGCCATCCAGCCATGTTATACTGGCTGGATCTGGCAAACAACAATACCTACCTATACATTTCATGTTGCAGGATGGTGTTGATTCTACCGTAGCACTCTCAGCGCCCCTCCCTACTGCTACAGCATGATATTGCCTTTTATTGAAGCCATCCAGCCATGTTATACTGGCTGGATCTGGCAAACAACAATACCTATACATTTCATGTTGCAGGATGGTGTTGATTATACCGGAGCACTCTCAGCGCCCCTCCCCACTGCTAAAGCATGATATTAAGCCATCCAGCCATGTTATACTGGCTGGATCTGGCAAACAACAATACCTATACATTTCATGTTGCAGGATGGTGTTGATTCTACCGGAGCACTCTCAGCGCCCCTCCCCACTGCTAAAGCATGATATTAAGCCATCCAGCCATGTTATACTGGCTGGATCTGGCAAACAACAATACCTATACATTTCATGTTGCAGGATGGTGTTAATTCTACCGTAGCACTCTCAGCGCCCCTCCCTACTGCTACAGCATGATGCCATGTTATACTGGCTGGATCTGGCAAACAACAATACCTATACATTTCATGTTGCAGGATGGTGTTAATTCTACCGTAGCACTCTCAGCGCCCCTCCCTACTGCTACAGCATGATGCCATGTTATACTGGCTGGATCTGGCAAACAACAATACCTATACATTTCATGTTGCAGGATGGTGTTAATTCTACCGTAGCACTCTCAGCGCCCCTCCCTACTGCTACAGCATGATGCCATGTTATACTGGCTGGATCTGGCAAATAACAATACCTATACATTTCATGTTGCAGGATGGTGTTGATTCTACCGGAGCACTCTCAGCGCCCCTCCCTACTGCTACAACATGATATTGCCTTCTATTGAAGCCATCCAGCCATGTTATACTGGCTGGATCTGGCAAACAACAATACCTATACATATCATGTTGCAGGATGGTGTTGATTCTACCGGAGCACTCTCAGCGCCCCTACCGCTATGGCATGACTCTGCTGTGCATCGGAGCCATGTTCAACTGGCTGGGTCTAGCAGATAACAATGCTGAGCCTGTCAGATACATCGGTGTCACTCTCATAGCCGCTGGGGCGATGCTCATCTGTCTGGCGATGTGCTTCTGGATGAAGGCCACGCACGACCCCCAGGTGGCAGCTCTGCAGGTCAGTTTATTCATAGACAAGCTCTTGAGACCGTTACCTTTACACCCTTGACCATAAAGTTAAATATTCATGTATAAAGTTAAATATTAGGATACATCTCTCTCATATCGCAGAACGTGACACTGCACATAATATGGCCGTTTACCTCATACAAAGTGTGTGGTGCGTATTGAACTTCACCATGGTCATTTGAATTTGTAATTTTTTATGATTATATTTAATATAATATATTATTTTTTTATATATAATATATAGTTTTCTCTCTCGTAATATCGTTTCTTTGTGTAACATCATTCATTTCTCCCTCCTTTTATTTTGACTTGTTTCATTTACCTTTTCCTTTAGTGTGAATTTAATAAACCCTTTTTAATTTGACTCTAAATTCTGTGTACTGTGAGAACATTTGGACATTCATGAAACATATCTTCTCAACTAGAGACAACATTCGACCAGATCTTCTTTCAAGACCTTATTAACGTCAAAGTGGTAACATAACTATAGTTCAGTGTTAAAAATTAAACCAAAGTCCATAATTATTTTCTGTTGTCAAAATTAAATTAATAACCCAGATACAGTCCACTTTATTATTTCTACAATAACCTTTTGATTACGCTACATCTTTGGTATCAGAAACAAGAGAAAACATAACACTAATTGAATCCATAACAGACAAATTGAAAGAAAATAATTCAATCATAACTAAAGCTGATAAAAGTAATTCAGTTGTTATAATATCTCAAAATGAATACATCAACAAAGTTAAAACTTTCATAGAAAACAATGAATATAAAATTTCAACGAAAGACCCAACAGATGAATTTTCAAAAGCAATAAATGATACTATAACGAAATGCAAAAGTATCAATAAGAAAGATAAACTCCTATTAAAAGCAACAAATTCAAAAGCACCAAATTTAAGAGGACAGCCCAAAACCCACAAAAAAGACATACCAATTCGACCTCTAGTAAACTTCATAAATTCACCTTCATACAAACTATCAAAATACTTAAACAACAAAATCAAAAATAATATAAATTTAGAATCTGATTCTTCTTTGAAAAACACCCAAGATCTTATCAACAAAATTAAAGATATAGATATTCCTAGCGATGTTTTACTCTTATCTTTCGGTGTAAACAATATATATACGAATATTCCAACCAAAGAAACATTATCTATATTAAAAAGAAACCTAATAAACCACAACAAATTGAAAATAAATGAAATAAATGATATTATCGAACTTACAGAGGTTAAACTGTTAAGCAAAATTACTTTAGTTATGATTCGTCTTTCTATCTTCAAGAAGATGGTCTACCAATGGGTTCTCCCCTTTCAGGACTTTTATCAGAAGTCTTTATGACAGAAATGGAAAAATCCAAAATTATTAATGACACAAATCCATTCATAAACAACATTGTTTATTGGTACAGATATGTAGATGACATTTTATGCTTATTTAAAGGAAATGACAATGAATCTGAACAATTATTAACGTATCTCAACAATATTAATAAGAAAATTAAATTCACCAAAGAAACCCAACAAAAAGAAATCAATTTCCTAGATCTAACAATTTCCATCCAAAACAACAAACATTCTTTTAACATATTCAGAAAACCCACAACTACAGACATAATAATTCCAAAAAATTCGAATCATCCATGGACACACAAAATTGCAACTTTTCATTCATTAATACACAGATTAGTCAACGTTCCTTTAAATAAAGAAAACTACAAGAAAGAAGTCGACACTATAAAATATCTAGCTGAAAAAAATGGATATAGAAGCAAAATGATTGATAATATGATCAAGAAGAAAATTAAGAAAAGAAATGAATTAAAATCAAACTTAGAAAACAATTCGAAACACAAAGAAGAAAAGAAATTCGTGTGCGTCCCATACAACAACAATTTTAACAAAGCAATCAGGAAAACATTCAAACATACCCCAGTAAAATTAAACTACAGAACAAAAAATAACATTTTTAAAAATCATACACAATAAAACCAACAATCCTATAACAAACAATACAGCAAACATATACAATGCATCTGGTATCTACAAAATTAAATGTTCTGACTGTGGCAACTACTACATTGGACAAACCTATCGAAATTTTAAAGTTAGATTCAACGAACATATACAGGCATATAAATCGAAGAACAAAACATCAATGAAATCAAATTTTGCTGATCATTTACTAAAATCCAAACATAAGTTTACTAAGATCGAAGAAAACTTAACAATATTAGAAATTGAAAAAGACAGAGAAAAATTGAATGTAAAAGAAGAAATTAATATTTATATGAACTACAAAAATAACAAATAAAATATTTTAAATACAATGATTCCAAAATTGAATAATCCAATATATGAAACAATAGCAAAATTGAGAAAATATTAATGAAAATAAGTACAACACATCATATAGTATATAAATTAATCAATGAAGACAAAATTATGTTACAAGTTTATTTATTTATTTACATATCTTATTTTGATTTTTGTTTACTTTGAAAATGGCCTTAGAGCCGAAACTATAGTTCTACTATATTACTGACTATAGTCAGTAAATATTTTAATAAATAATTTTACTTGGGTACTAAGTTTATTAATGTTTAATCTTTGTTTATATATAGTAGCCCTATTTTTCTATTTTTCATCTAATATATAAAATTCTCGTGTCACAGTGTTTGTCTGCAAACTCCTCCGGAACGACTTCACTGATCGTTATGAAATTTGGTGTGTAAATTCTGTAGGTATGCGAATCGGACGTAAACTATTTCCCGTTTCGATAAACATGCTACCCGTAGGTTATATAGAATAAACTGCCCCTCGCCTTCATTCATCGTTCTTCTCGTGAAGTTGCTAGAACATATCAAATGCTAATTGTCAGAAATATAAAGATGTGCCTTGCTTGTGTCGTGTTATGTGTGTTGGCTAAAAAACCCTGAATGAATAACTAGGTGGCATTCGCAGACGCGTCTACAGCATTGAGCGGAGTCATCAGGGCATCACAGCCATTGATCTTCACCATCAAGCTTCAAAATCATGTTTATGCAAAGTAGCTAATTGCTGTATTTACTCACTTTGCTACATTCTAATTTTTTGCCTCACTCAACTATTTCCTACAGTCACCTGACAAAGTAGGTTTCCTTGCACTGATACAGAAAGTTGCTAATTGCTGCATTTACTTACTTTTGCCGCACTCCAGTATTCCAACCAAACAACACAAAACAGCGTGCTTTTATTAGGCAAGTATTCCGTGTACGCTTGAAAATAAGTTGGCAACACTTAAAGATACTACAACTACGATCAGCTGTTGCAGTGTTTCCCATTACGTTCAACGTTTGGATTTAGCCTATAACCTTTACATGATTAAGCCTAATATCCTTGATAAAATTTACAGTACAATAATTCCTTTAAGTCAACAGCTAATCTTATGCTTTATAGCAAATTTCCCTAGAGGGAAATTACCGTAGCTGTAGCTACGGAAATTAGCCGTAATAGCTACGGAAATTAGCCGTAGCTATTACCGTAGCTGGCACGGTAAGACTTGGAGCCGGGACCGATATGCTTTTTTCATTTTGGTTCCCTTAGAGGCCAAAAGCACTATTCGTTGAAATTTTTATTTTGTGGTTCAGAAATTTGGGCCCTGGCCAAAGAACCGAAAACCCTTATTGGATTTGAGAATAAAGTTCAGTGAAAATATACGGGCCTTTTCAAGATAATGGAGGTTGAGATACGAAAGGTCAGAGAGCTAAGAGGAATGTTGTGAACATATTAGAACACAGCCATTCCCGATGTGTCAAAAGTAAAGTACGATTGTAAAGTTAAGAACTGAATAGTATCCTATCCTATTCTCATAGACAGTTGTTAAAATATTATTTTATCACTGTAGAGCAAAGTATTCAGTGCATTGAGTTTTTCTTTTTTTCTTTTAGAAAAAGAAAGCTGTACAAGGATCTTGTTTTCGAATTTCATTGAATTCATATATTTGTAGTTTATTCCTCTCCCTTTCATTGTTGCTGTACATCCAAATTATTGCAAATAAATCTAATAGTACATGATAAAATCCCATAGATAAGTGTGGTCCTTGTATGATCTGGTTCAAGAAGTTGCTTAGCCACCGGGCACGGTAGACTTCCTGGCAGACATGAGTTCTAGTCATAAACCTTGGATCATGCTGTGGCCACTGGCCTTGACTCCCACTGCTTGGTGAATCTGATACTTACATAACAAACCACACAAACCTATGTATGTACCTAATGCAATTCTGTACTATGTGTAAGTTTTATTGCTTACTTGGCAACAGTTTGAGTTAATTGTCTTGAAGCTTTTGTTTGCAAAGTTTATGAACTGCTAAATAATTAAATGGAATAAAGCTCAGAGAAGGTTCTTTGGACAAAGATATAAAATTTTTGAACTTTTGCTCTTTACTGTAAATTTTAATAATTTTTTCAAAGATCGTGTATTGCCACTCATTTTCAGCGCGCACTTTTGTTGCAACATAATATAGAGATGATAATGCAATGGTGGTGGCGTTGAGAAATTATACGTCTTCAATTTCAACTAGCTGGCATGCACATTTATCCCGACTGATAAATATATGTAGGCTAAATGCGACCTCGTGTTGGCCGTTTAGTTCAACTTATATTTACGTATATTTACAATATTTATATTTACGGAAAATAAACCTATGATGTTGATCTGGGATGATGATGGTGTAGATAATCTAGAATAATAAACAAAGCCAGTGTCAGTAAACCGATTCATTGATCATCTCCTCAATTATAATCGCTATATTATCGAGAATGCAAGTACAGTAAGTGGGATACGTGTATCAAAACTGCAAATTGTGATAAGAAAAAACCTTTTGGTATGAATATAGGTTATGGTCCAACCATTAAAATAAGATGGGGAGGCATTGCCTAAAGTTGTTATAATCCAAAATGGCGTGTATTTTTCAAAATGGCTGCCTGTATTTAGTTTT